ATACGCACAATCGCTCAATGCCAAAGTATACTTGCAGAGTGGTTTTTGAAGAACGAGGCATGATCACAATATATAGATATCGTATGATGCTGAATATTCTATACAATCGTATAGAATATTCACTGATATGACTTTATATAAAGATACCAAATTCAAGGAAGTAAAAAATGCCGAAGTATAAGTACTTGTAGACTGCATTTTTAAACAACAGGCATCAATATATATTACGGCAGGGCTTACAGGAAAGGTAAATTCAGAAGATATGATACCCGATACTATTTTGGCCTTTTTACGACTCGTCACGAAATTCGTGAACCGCATCAGCACAACATCATATGAAGACTAGGCAGTGCAAATTTCATGTAAGCAAGTTCGTAAATTCAGAAGAGATGATACCCGGTACTATTTTTGCGTTTTTACGACTCGTGACGAAATTCGTGACGAGTTATGTCGACTTGTACCTTGCGATGTATTTCACGACTCGTGACAACTTGTAACGAGTCGTGAAATTGTGACGAATTATATCAACTTGTACCTTGCGATGGATTTCACGACTTGTGACAACTTGTAACGAGTCGTGAAATGCGGGAGTATTGGACATGTATGCTCTTATTGTGGTTTATTACAATAGTGTCAAGATAACGAAATATTCTTAAAAAGCAAAATACACTAATTATTAAAAACGCGTAGGCCTAATAGCGACTATCCTTTTATCTCCAAATTACGGCGAGTAGAAATTATCTTCGGCGTACTTGCCTCAATGTCATGACAAAGGCTTGTCTTCTGTGATATTTCCCCCATGGGCATGTACATGATGAAAAATGGAGAGTTTACTGGGAATGGCAACAAAATTTAAGTCGGCATTCAGTTTAGGGAATATGCCAATAAGTTACAGTATACAACAGTTCCAGCTTTTCTTTTTCCAGCCTCGAAATATTTTAGTTTAATTTGATATGTGATATGATATTTGATAATTTCAAAGGTGGCAGTCCGGTCAAGGGTTCAAAAATGATGAAATCATTCTATATAATATATTGTTGATTCCTTGGATCAACTTGCATACAGATGAAAAAGTTACACAGCTAGCCGGCGCTCTTGGTATACTAAGGTGGTTTCGGATCATGTTAACTGAAGTGTTTGGTTTTTAATTTTCTTTGTTTAGAAAAACGGCGGCAATAATAGCATAGTAATAAACAAGCGGTATTAAAATTCTTTAGAAAGATATCGTGTTCTATGTTTTGGTCCGCAACATGCGAGGCACACATATGAATAAAATGAATACATCGAAGGTAACATTTTAACATGATCTTCCTATATTCAGGTAAAATTCGACTTTCACATCTCACACCTGCCCAACTGTAGAAGCTGTGCACGATTCCTGAATATCTATATATATATATATATATATATATATATATATATATATATATATATATATATATATATATATATATATATATATATATATATATACGAGTGTCTCACGTATCTAGACGTGTACCAAGCTGCACTGACAAGGCGTAAAACGCCGAAACATGCATGTTTGCAGATTGTACTATATAGTATATATATATATATATATATATATATATATATATATATATATATATATATATATATATATATATATATATATATATATATATTTATATATACATATATATATATTATATATCAGTTTAAATGTTTCTCAAAGAAAACCAAAAGCACGGCTCATGTTCCGGGCATGTTCCCCCGGGAAAGGTTTGAAATCTGGTTCAAGTTTAACTGATATCGATGTTGATAATGGGTAGTTAGCTCTTTCAGTGCTAAACTGCTTTTCTCACCGATAGTGGTTATAACAGTACTAGTAGAAAATGAAAACTAAACTAACTTTATAGTTCTGAACTTCTGATACTGCATAGTTCTATCAGTTCTAAATTGAATTTGGAGGTCCATTGTGTTTGGTTGAGTCAAGGACTCTGAAAGAACTCTCACATCAGATGTACAGGAATGTACAAATAAAAGGCACTTGCCATTGTGGCACAAACACACCCTATTTCACGTAGTTGTAACAGTTAAAATTCGTGGTAAACATTAATTTATTTTCGTGATTCGTGAAAAGCGTAGATGTCAACTAGGTCCTACAAGGTCAAGGATCTTTTTGTGGTGTATTACAATGGTATATCAAGAATTAAGATAACGAAATATCTAAAAACATACGTCGTAACGAATATCTTTTTATCTAAATAATCAATGCTTTTAGCTTTTGGCAATGGATTGAAGTGTATAATTGCGTATAGCAGACAAGGTGTCTGTATATTTATAACATCTCTCCTTGGGAGACCGATTTCAAATGATTTTAAAAAGAACCTCTTTATTCTAAATCACAGGCGTGTTATCCAAATTAGCGATGTGTATGGTTGCAAAATAATGTGAATTATGGTATTTACGTGTATTTTGTATAACAGTATATTGGCTAGCTTTCGATCCATAAGCAGCCGCCTTGCATGGATCTTCACCAGTATATTGAATTATTATAACACCATGCGATGAAGACCGGACTCGGATTGAAACCTAATTCGCCAAAGGCCGCGAGCGAAGAAATAAACGTGTCCACAAAACAAAGAAAATCATTTATATTTATTTTTACCTTATTGTTATCAAGATAACGAAATATCCATGACTAAAAAGCAAAATGCACTGACTATTGAAAATGCGTAATAGCGACTATCCTTGTATCAGCAAAATATACACCTTTCCATACTTACGTCACACGTACTTTTTGGTCTTGGAGCCTCGCTCTCATTAGTAAATTACGCAAGGTGGTTAGCTCACTATTCATAAGAGCGAGGCTCCCAGGCCAAATGACGTAATTATCGAAAGGGTGTATTACGGCGCGTACAAAAATTAGCTTTGGCGTACATGCCTCAATGTTCACAAATTCTTTCTCTAATTCTGTGATATGTTGACACTTGTTGGATGACTGCCCGCTACACTATGACTATTATCATTTCAAGTCAAACTAGAAAATAGCATGCACTCCTACGTACTTTTTAATCATATCAAATAATTCAATAATCATAAATATGATAGTTACAAGTCTATTCAGTTCACTTTTCGTGCAGTCTATGATAGCAAAGGTCCAAAGAATACTTTTGAGACTTCTGTTTCTTCAAAACCATGGATAAAATCGAAAGCAGCTGTGATGAATTCCTCACGACTAATTTCACCATTCTTATTCGAGTCAATCATGTTGAAGGAATGCGTCACCTCATCTTCGGAAATATCAGGAGCGATTATTTGAAAATACACCTTGAACTCGTCCAGGGAAATGTGACCGTCTTTATTGAGGTCCAGGGCATCAAATATTGGGTTATGAGTTTCTTTTAGGAAAGCTAGTCGTTTTTCTTGTGCCATGACTGCGAATTCTCGGTTTGCCTTTTTAGCTGCTTCTTCTACAGGGATCTTTACTCCAGGTTTCAGACCCAATGTATCAGCAACTGTCATGAATGCATTGCGTGTCGATTCGGCGTCCTCTGCGTTCAATTTACCACACTCTTGCACTTTTGTGGCCATGAGCTCGTAGTCTTCGCGAGATATGAAACCATCGTGATTCAAATCTAACCTGGTAAATCGAGTTCGCATTTTCCGCAAGTGATACGCGCGGTGTTTTTCTGTTAAACTCGACATCGTAATGCTGTCTGGTGATGGCGATGTATGGTGTTGAACCACGGTTAATCGAAGGAGACTGGTTAGGCTAGCCGGCAAACTTCAAAGGGTCTCTGAAATTATGTTGGGAACCCCAAAAATAAATGTCACGTGGTACGATACCTGCATCAACAAGGAGTGATACTAAGAAAACATTAAGAGATTTAGTGTGTTTTGCAAAATTTAAGCGATTTTTATACCTTTTTCGCAAGTTGAAAGCATATTTTTATGGATACACGGCGTTTATGGACATCCCACAGGAAAAATATCAAATTATAATGACTCAAGAACAAAATAATCGAACGTAAAGCACCGAGGTTGTTTGACCCTCGTATCGAGTATGGCACACGGTATGAACAGATCAAGCCAAAGCGAGTCTGAAATTTACCTAGAAGATTCTGAAAATGAAGACTATAATCTAGAAGTTACCGTGGCTGTTACGCAGGCTGAATGAGAGGATATATAGGACGAATTTAATGACGCTTTGAGCGAAATACATGGTAAAAAATCGTTCCCTTGTCCAAAGTGTGACAAATTGTGTACTAAAGTCGACTATTAATTTAAAGGCGGCTTAACCAGACACACGAATTCGAAGCATTGCGAATTTTCTTCCCAGAAAACATGACCAGAATTGCATATTTTTGCTACGATACTGTCGCGTCGATTGTGGAATCGATCAAGTCGCAAATTATAAGAGAAAAATTGTGTGGGGTTGAAATGAGCAACAGCGCCAAGACTGCATCATGCACTAAAGCTTTGTTTTGATGCTTTATTCAAGCTAAGTTCTGTTGAAACTTGACCAAGCTGAGCGTGAACCTTTGTCGTATGTCGCAGGCTATATAGTATCAAAACTTTTCCAGACAAATAAACGAAAGTGTGGAGTGTAACACAACGACAAACTAAATTGTGCTTGGAAAATGTCATCAAATTGTTGAGGAAGGTCATACTTTTATATGCAAGGGACTATCTGAACAAGGAAGGGCCTGAAAAGATTAGCTATATCAGCAACATAAACTGTTGACAATCATGTAAATTGTGAAAATGATTGGAAACTATACATGTGTTATCATTATACCACACTCTGACCTCGACTGACATTAGCTCTTGCAGCAACAATATGTAGGCTCCAAAAATGAGAGGTGTACCAGATTACCAGAGTTACATATATGGTAAATGCTCTCGATTAGGTCTAATATAAACATAGATATGTATATTTTTCATTTGAAACTGCCATTTACAAAAAAAAAACTTCAACACCATACTTATGCCAATAATAGGGTGACAGAAGTTGCTGTTGATATTGGTAATTTGGTGGTGTACACTGGTCAGATACATATATGCTCTAACTAGTTTTTCACATTTTAGCATTTTGACTATTGTTGGAAACCACTGTTTTGCAAAGGATACACTCTAGCAGTTGATATGAGTTAACTAAAGTAGGCAAAATGCCAAAGTGGAAAAATAAGCCTACCTGTTCATTCACTTTCATATTAAAGCAACATTCTGGCCAGGATAATTATCATTAATCAACTACAAGATTAAATATTCCACAATCATGCATTTCCACTGTATTGCTAGCATGCAGGTTAATCACCTGTGAAAATACATTCGCAGTAATTCTTACAACTGATAGTCTTATTAGATTGTTTTATCAATATGAATATTTTAAATAGTTGTATGTTATTAGAACGTTGACGGTTGTAAATACTGTCAGTGTATGCACAAATATGTTCCTCGCCATGTAATAATTTATAGTTTATAACAAATTTTGATTGTGCACAATTAACCCCTGGAAAAACATACTTCAAATAAACAGACACCTTGTGGCTCAGTGCCATGTTCTACAACACATTTCGCAGCATGTTGTCAACCGGTGCTGCACACAGATAAGGATACCATAACAAATTATCAAGAATTGCAAATACTTTGTGTTGCTGATGAGGTATACAACAATGGTACTCTGAATAATGTAAATATTTTTATTACTATACATATTACTACATTCATTCCATACTTTATGTGTGTGTTGGTGTTATGTACTAAGGTGGATATGATGTTTGTGGTGTTACTCTGAGTGTGCATCCACACCGGCCAAGTTGAAAAGTCCGCCTAACCACAGTGGGATTCGAACCCGCAACCTTTGGGATACTAGTCCAATGCTCTGCCAACTGAGCTATGAGGTCATGTCGGTTCAAGTTGGTGATATTTCGGAACTGAGTTTAGTTCCTTTGGCTCAGTTGGCAGAGCATTGGACTAGGATCCCAAAGGTCACAGGTTTGAATCCAACCGTGGTCAGGCAAACTTTTAAGCTTGTCTGTTGGGGATGCACACTCAGAGTATTAATACCACAAACTGACAAACATATTCATTCCAAATGGTCAAAACATAGAGTAATAAAAATGCTTTCATTGTTTGGATATGTATGTAAGCTTTGCAAATTTATGATGTCGTTTTACAACATGTCTATGAGAAATAGGAATGCACTCTCCCCTTAATAGGTAAAACTGTCTAGTGTTAGAGTAAAATAATAAAGTAGGGATGGGTGCATCAGGGTGCAATGCCAAGGTTAATGCATAAACAAAACCAATATTTATATCAATATATTGCCAACTGTTCTCAATTTCTAATGTCGAATTCTAGGCTGATTAATTAGTATATCTAATAAGATCACAATCAACTCATGTGTTTTTTACTTGCAAAGGAGAAATAACAGGGGTTTTAAATGAGGGAGGGGGGGGGGGGGCTTAAAAGAGAATATTTGACAACTCATAAAATTGCATAACTTCAAATAAATTATGAGAACATGTGTTACTTAGGTGGTACTAGGTCATTTCTTTGGGCTTTTCCTTTTCTTCACAGGTTCATCACTAACTCACATTTTCTCTGATATCAGGTGCAATGTCTCTTTGTGCAGCAATGGTGAGGTCATTGCAGCCAAACTGCTGGGCTGTGGGATTGTCAGTCTGTCAGAGTGTCCACCTTTCGCTTGTTCATGACCAAAATAGTCCCCTAACCCATCTTACATAAACCTTTCGCTGAGAACATGAATCAGGAAACCCAACCAAGTTGTGATCAGATGTTGGGTCGACCAATGTACAACTGATTGAGTGTTCACATCTTCTGCCAAGCATACTTGTTAAAATGCATTCGGGCTTGAAATGAAGTTCACAGAGATAAACGTTGCTTGCTTCAATACGTTTCTTAAAGTCTGTAGTCAACACCGTGTCCTCAGGGATTAAATTTGTCCATTCCTTTCACGCGTTTTCATTCAATTGTCAGGTTTGCTCGCTGTCGTCGGCACGAACGGACGGCAGTTTAAAGAATGAAAGCCCGTGCTTTCTGCTGCTTGAACAATCATAAAATGCACAGTTTTCGCTAGGCATGACATTTATCTTGCCATCCGACAAAAAAATAGAATTGAAGTAAAAAAACAACCGCTTTATATTGAAATTTCGAACGCAGGTTTTGTATACATTCTGTATATTCCTAATAAGCGATTGAGATCTGATGCAGGGACCGGACCACGTGACCCTTCAAAACAAGGTTGAATAACATAATTTGTCACGTGGTACAAGTAGCCTAACCAGTCTCCTGGTTGAACTGATACAAAATATAGGAGGCGCGCTGACCGACGTGTGATCTTATCTATGCTTAGTGTATCTATATTATATCAAAACACTTTGTCATTCAAGTGTGTGGGGGGTCTCAGCGGTGCGCTTTTGACTAGTTTGAGAGCCTGAGGTGGTTTTCGGATATATCTCAATTGTCGTGGAGGTTGATTTTACCGTGAAGAAGTTATCGCTCACGTCGAAGTCCAGTGTAAGGAGACAATGAACTGGACTAATATTATACTCAGACAACTCAGTGAATTGAAGTGGATAAGATACATGCGGGTCAAATATTCTTTGTTTGACAGTGACGTATGGATTTCTATGGTCAATTGAACATAATCTATCTGCATATGCCGGAATGTTTGATATTTGTGAAAACATCACGTTTATTTTGTATGACAGTATATTGACTAGCTTTCGATCCAAAAGCGGCCGTCTGGTATGGATCTTCACCAGTATATTGAATTATTATAGCACCATGCGACGAAAACCGGATCTCGGATTGAAAGCTAATTCCCCAGAAGCCGCGAGCGAAGAAATAAACGTGTCCACAAAACAAAGAAAATAAATTATATTTATTTTTACCTTACTAATGTTATCAAGATAACGAAATATCCATAACTAAAAAGCAAAATGCACTAATTATTGAAAATGCGTGATAGCGACTATCCTTGTATCTCCAAAATATACACCTTTCCATAATTACGTCACACATACTTTTTGGTCTTGGAGCCTCGCTCTCATTAGTAAATTACGCAAGGTGATTTGCTCACGAATCGGGAAAGCGAGGCTCCAGGCCAAATGACGTAATTATCGAAAGGGTGTATTACGGCGCATACAAAATTAGCTTCGGCGTACTTGCCTCATTGTTCACAAAGTCTTTCTCTTCTGTGATATTTGCCCATGGGCATTGTCATGATGAAACCTGGAGAGTTTACTGTAAACAGTAACGATATTTAAGCTAGCATTTAGTCCAGGCAATAAGTTACAGTATATTGTATACAACTTTTCTAGCTAGCTTTTCTTTTTCCGGCCTTTTAGATTAATTTGATATGTAATTGAAATAAATCTATAATACTAATTTCCAAAGTGGCAGTCTCGTCAAGGTATCAAAAATAATGAAATCATTCTATGTATATTGTTCATTTATTGGACCAACTTGCATACAGATGAGAAAGTTATACAGCAAGCAGGCGCTCTTGGTATATAAAGGTTAAATGCTTCTCACAGGAGTTAAATAAATTCTCTAAGAAAATCCGCCTCTTTTTCTTTCGTCGTTGCAAAGTCTATGGCTAATAAACTGTTACTGTATGTATGAGAAAAATTACAGTTACGGTTTTCACGAGGAAAATATTAGCCGTTAACGGTGAATTAGTAGATATGCGACGGTCGCCGAACCACCGACCCCCTATAATAAACCCCCTGTGTATAGAGTTAATAAT